GGAAATAAAAAAGGAATAACCTACAGATAATTTATACAAATGTAATAATACTGACAAAGATATACCCTTCAGAGCAACTACTGATAGCCACTTTTTTGACGACATCTATAGACTTTGGATTTATTTAACATCATACTATTTATATATGGTATCTTGGCCTTCAAAATTTAATTGGTTGAGTGAATCTATTATTATTTCGTAATATTCTTCAGGGCTCAGTAATTTCCAACTCCCGATGAAATGTCATTTCGTCTGATTACTTTGTCGATATTTGAATTTTCGATCACATAACATCCTTGGACAATAAACTCTACTAATTTTATCTTGACCCGTCTTTACTGTTAACTAAATTCTGATGATAAAGTCCACGACTGACTAATCATAGAGTAGTGATAAATGTCATGCACGTCAACTGTTTCTTGGTTTTGATTGATTTCTAGCGACCAAGTCGTGATGAAGTTTCTAGTCTAAGTGACTCTTCTGCATATGCACTATGTTGGGAAGTAGAGCAGTGGTTGGAGATGGTTGACAGGAAACTCTAGACATGAGTTTCAGAGTAGTTAGCAACTGTCAGACAAGTGCACCTGTTATTTCATGGGAACTGATGCCCTCCTCGAAACTCAGTTCCATATTTCGAGACGTTTCACTGAGCTATTTGAATGGCGACTGACCTCCCTAATAGTTCAAATCTACTCACAGTTGACTGATAGCAAGGCAATGACCAATGTTATGCCGATCAAATTCAATCAAAGAAGTTTATAACATTGCTCCTGGCCTAAAAGTCCTGATATCGTATGGAACTTTATTTATATAGTTATTGAGCACATTTAATTAACAAGATATATTAATTATCCCTGACAATTTAACATAAAATAAACAAATTCTGCTCGATGACCAGTTGTAGTATGTATAACAATGGTAAACAAAAGAATATAAAACTGAAATTACAAAATTAATACTTTAAAAAACACTTGTTATACATGGATTCATTAAGTATCTTCTCGAAATCGAAACAATGCAGTGAACAACAAAAAGTACACATTTTACTACAAACCTTGGTAGCATGGTGAGATTTGTGGAGATTAAAGAAGTTTAATGGTTTGATTTGACTCAAGTTACGTATAGATATTCCTGGATATCAGCTAACTGATCTAGAGATTAAGCGTTCGCATGAGACCGAACGTTCTTGGTCCGATTCCCATTAGTGGTATCGTGAATACACACATCTGAGGACTTCCGTACTAGAACGAAATGGCTATCCAGTGCTTCTAGTTTTCAACGGTCTTGCCAAGATCAGTGAGTAACTTACACTGGAGATTTTAGGACTTAAGATAAATAACTGAAAATGAGAAGGCATCGTTTCTTCATATTAAAAAAAATTCATTTTTTATTTTCGAAACTAAGTAAAAAGGTTTTTGTTTTTCGCTGAACAAATTTACAAACTAAACCACCAAATTATAAAATATCTTAGTTGAAGCTTATTGATTTACTGACTAGAAATAACTTACTACTGAGTGAAAATGACAGTCAAGGAGAGCGCAATAGCTAATGGTATGTTAATTAAGAAAGTATGTACGTGTTCAAAGGTCAAGGTTAGCATCCGATTGTGAAAAAAGCGACATAAAATAATGACTAATCTATGTTAATTAATATATTACATAGAACCTTCTTTATCGTTTTGTCACTAATAATTTCTGTCAACCAGTTGATGAAAAATTCATAAATGATCAAAAATTAACATTGATTCATTCAAGAATTCAATATACAAGTGTTGGAACAAGTCATTCAAAAGGCCGTGTTACTAGAGTTACGCTGCTGGTTTATAAAAAGTATAGCGCTGTACTAGTTTGTAAGACTGATGACAATATTTACCTTAGAAATATATTTTACAGACATATACAACGATAAACCTGTGTACGAAGCCTCGAAGCTTAACAATACTCTTAGTGGAGGAGTCATAGCTCCACACTTCTGAGGAGTTTCATACTAGGAATAAACAGTTGTTCAGCACTTCCCGCTTATCAATAGTTGTATAACCTAAACCAGTTTGTGATCTTAACAGCAACAACAACAATCTCCCTAACTCAGCATACAGATATAAATTAAAATAGATTGTAAGATGATTTTTGATAATCGTCTGAATTACATTGTGTTCTATGTTAAAAATATTCCTAGCCGTATTTCCAAACATGACATTGGTTATTACTTAGTGAGTAATCATTCGTAATTATCTCAGTTCCACCTAAATCGCTCATTGACAGAATCTGAGGCTATTAGGCTAAGTGACACTGGTTTGAATCACACAGTATTTTAGAGGATCTTTTAAGTAGTTAATGGGATGTTGGTCAATAAATGAAATCTATGATATTAAGTGTGACTAAATAATGGGTTTATTGAAGCAAGTTCGGGAATGATTAGAATTCGAAGACAGGACCACTAGCCCGATAAATGAATTTCTATATCATAAAATGGTGTACATATATATAAAATACAGGATCAATACGATAAAATGTCTTCAGAGATTGGAGTAAATCACTTTGTAGATCATTCATTCTCTAATCACTTAGGATCCCATTATTAAGCCTTATTCTCGATTGTCGTATGCTAAACGAGTATCAGCTCCTCCAAGATTACAGGTACACCTAACTAAAAAGTGGCAATTTCTATGAAACCTGAGGCTTACCATATTGCCTCCAGCCATCTACGTATGCTACGGCAATCACTTTGACTACTTTTTGTGAACCATCAAATAGGGTTAAGCTTTGTCAACTTCTGTATTTTCTATGCTACTAATAAGTAGAAAAGATAATAAAATAGAATATTTTAGACAAAGTGGTTCTTCATTCATCAGACTGAAAGACAATAAATAATACCAACCAATGTAATTCAATAATTCACGATTTAGTTTATTCACTGATGCCCTTCGCTAAAGTATAACTTATGATTTTCATCTTCTGGTGAAAGAAGAGACCTGTTGTGGCCAGCCAATCACAGCGAGGGTTACCTCATTTCAGCCTAAGGTTGTCAATGATTGCAGAAGCCTGTAATTGGCAAAGGCTTAAAACGCTAGGTGATAGCCGAAACAGTAAACGAGGAGAGAAAGATTACGGCCAGTGAATCTTTTTTAGACATTAATTATCATCTAATTGATAATGCATTTCATTTATTCACCTCACCAGTTTACTTTCAGTAATAATAATAATAATAATAATAATAATAATAATAATAATAATAATAATAATTGGACAGTCTCGTCTCAGACATCCTTGTAGCTCAAAAGAAAACAACAGGTAAATTCCCGTTTACCAGTTTATTTTAATGAGTTTTCAGTAATGCAATCAGGCGTTCATTTGCCTGATAATAGATATGGCATTAAAATGTCCAATGAGCAAGAATTTAAATGTGAATAAAGCGATTTAAAGAATAGTTACTGACTGGATAGAAGGACAGAAATAGTTTTGGCACCAAAACAGCAAAGGAATTTTCCACACGTGCCTTAGTTTCAAAGCTTAGTGGCTTGATTTTAGTAATCTTACCATGTAAGTTATTATTATGATATGTTGGTTGATTCTGATAACCATTAATACACTAGCACAGGTACTAAATAACTGATCGTCTGGATCTCTGTAGAAGACTGTTCATTTAGATGAACCCTGAATTGTTTTATCCAGTGAAAACCTTACTCGAAGAAATGTTACTCGCTCGTATAGATCAGGTCATACTCCTAGTACAAGTGTCAAAGGACTTATTTATGTAAATTATTTAGTAGTTCAGTCCTGAAGAAATTATCACCTCTGATCACGTACTGCCGTGTCAGTCATGATTATGTGCAAAATCACAGAAACATTCAAAAGTCTGAGTTAGAGATTTGTGCCTAGATGAAGATATATTTATTCACTACTTCAAACAATCTGTACATTCTTTCTCATAAAGTAGACAGTTATCACTTCTCTAAAATTATTATTCCATACATCCTAATTCTTGAATGAATTTTCTTCATAATCTGTTTGGACTATGGCTAACAACGGAATCCAGGATATCAGCTATACAATTTGGAAATTGTGAGCTGAATGTATTTGCACTCCACAGTCGATGATCACTTTGGGACTGGAATTCATTGTTTTTCCTTTCCAGTGCCTGACGAGTTCTCCACTAAGCCATTGAGTTCGGACATATATTCATTTGTATGACGGGTATGAACTTTATTTTAATTTGCTATGGTTTAGATTATCTCTTATTTGATGTTTTGACTAAATTCCGATGCTTTAACTGCCATATGAGCATCCTGTGTGGACTAAACTATGATGGCGAAAGTCTCATGGAATTGGTGAAAAATGACTAGCATTGAAATCCAGGTAGCTTCTTTAATGACTTTATCTTCACTTCTTTAAATAACTTTTCCTTCAACATACTCATGAATCTTGATTGTAGTGTTAAATATAGTGTTTCCTCTTCTCATTTCTTGTGTAGTTTCGAACTCTTTCAGCAAATGAGATAGGTAAAACTTCGATACAATAATATTATTCATGCAACCTAAGGACAGTGCTGGCTCATAAAACGACCTAAAATATAATGAATTAGTGTTATTTTTCAAATCTTGTTATTCTCAATTAAATTATAAGTTCTTATTACTTCTAGGGCTATCAGACAACACCTAAACTGATTTGTTATAGTATTAAGGAGTTTCAAAATTTATAATATAAAAGAACTCTATAATTTCAAGCAGTTCTTCAATGTCAGTTGATGAAAAAAAATCTTCAAACAAAAAAGTCTTTTTATATATGACACCCTCTCTACCAACAAATGAACAACAATAGTTTAGTGAAATTTATGGGGATTCTTGAATTTCCGCAGTTTAAATTATGAGCTAATCTTAGTTTGACTACCATCAAAAATCTGTAAGCACTGAATGGCCTTTTCGTCAATAATTGAAATCTTGCTAAATTTTGATGAAAATTACCCTCAAACAAGTAATTACACCCACCATGAGAAGTATAATTATCATTCGCAATAAATTATTATATATTTTCACACATACAATATTTTTTCAAAAGGAATTATACAAATCTAATAAAAACCAAAAAAATGAAAACAGATTTTAACGACCCATAAGAAAATGTTCAATAAACTCTGTCTGTTCAGCTTCCTCTTTTTGTAATGACTGTAACTGAACATCCAATCTAGTAATAAGGTATCGATTAATTTACGAAAAAAAACAAATAATTTTTTATCAACACAAAGCTAAATTATAAGTATTTAATTACTACAATAAAAATCTTAAAATTTCATTTTGATTAGTTGAAAAGAGATAGTGATTTACAGTTGAAGTGAGAAGACAAAATAGACAGTTATATATGGATCCCAAAAGTTATAGACGGTTGAAAAATAGTCAGTCAGTAAGCAACAACGTACAACTTCACACGTACGGACTTAAATCAGTTCACGTTGAAATACCACATTAACACGGAAACAAAATTGTCAATTCAAATCCCATAGTAGTAGAGGTAGTAAAAGTATTAGAAGTAATCGGAGAGATTAGGGTTCGAAGATGTTATTCAAGAAGTATAATTCAGTGAGGTAAGTTTATAAAGAAAAAGATAGAAGTGATGATTATTTCAGAAGTTTAGGATTTGAGCGAACACAGAGTAAATGCACCTGCAACATTGTAAACGAATTTGAGCCATGTCATTCAAAGTCTCTAACCATCGATTACTATCATCTCGCAGACCACAACCAAGTAGTCGACACCTACCGAAATGACTCAGTCCACTTGTCAATGACTTAATGGAGTTGAGCCATGTTTTGGTCTGACTGCCCTTAACTTTCTTCCAACCTATTCCTACATCTCAAAACATAGCGCGACGAGGCAGTCGGTGGTTAGGCATACGTAACACATGTCTCAACCACCTCAACTGATGAAGCAGCAATTCTTCGTCTATTGACCTGACACCCTTACCTAGCACCTGTTTCACAGCCATAAAGTAGGATGGAGTGAACTAATGCGCAGTACACTCGTCCTTTGGTCAGCAAACGTATATCTCGCCAACGCCATAAGTGGTGGAATTTGGCAAAAGCCAATCGAGCTTTCTGTATCCGTCCTGAAATTTCGTCAGTGACTGGGATATCAGCACTGATGAGACTGCTGAGATAAGTGAAGCGGTCAACACGCTCAACTGGTTCATTCGCTATCACTAGTTCAGGTGACGATGAAACCCGATCTTGAAGCAACATTTTGCATTTCGAGTGTAGGGAATCGCATCCCGAACATGCTTGCGTTGTTGCATTTTGTCAGAGTCTTCACCAAATAGAACTAAGTCATTGGCATATGCTAAGTCGAATTGATGTAAGTCCTCCAACTCTTAATGAGGTTGGAAGGGCTATAGAAAATCCAAAGCAAGAAGAGCAGTAAGTCTGAGAGATTATACTTCCAGACTTAAGGATTGTTGTTCAATTTTAGCAGTTAGATTGACTGAGATCTTGGCTTGAACCTAGAGTTAGTCTTGTCTGACTGGTCTCATCCACTAATCGTCCCAGTCTACAAGAAAGGACAAAAGCCCTTTCGTCACAATCACAGAGAGGTCACCTTCGACGATACTTCAACGCCTTATTAGAGCTCATGAAGAGCAGACTCGAGCAAACCAGGTTGGTTTCAGACCTGAACGTTGATGTGTAGATCGGATATTGACACTTCATCAGGTCCTAGATAGACCACAGACACACAATCGGACATCCGACAATAGTTGTATTCCGCGACCTGAAGGAGGCGTTTGACTCTGTTGGCAGTGTCTGTTATTGGCAGGAGTAGCAAACAAGTAGATTACCTTGTACAAGCTCTCTACTCCAGCACTACTGGTCCAGTCAGAGCTTATGGCGAGCTGTCAATCGATGTTCTTCAGGTCCGTCCACTCTCTCCACTCCTCTTTAGTTTTGTCATTGACGTGCTCTTAGAGCCAACGCTTTCATCGTCTGACTTTTCAGGAGTTCGTCGTATACCGGGAGATTCACCTACCGTTTCAGAAGATGCCGATGACATAGTTCTATCTGGTGAAGACGCTGATAAAATTCAAAGTCTTCTAACCACTTTGAGCAACAATGCAGTTATGTTTGGGTTGCGATTCTTCCTCGTGAAATGCGAAATGTCGCTTCAGGATTGACTTGCGTCAGCACCAGAAATACAGATAGGGAGTAAAGTAGTTGAGAGTGTTGATCACTACTCTTTTCTTGGGATTCGGTGTCCTAAGAAAGCTGAACGCGTTTACAGACGGCTGTATCGGTTCTTCCCATCTTGCGTCACCTATGGCTTCGGCGAGATTTTGTCATACTAACCAAGTCACCGGTGTCCTGCCCATCACTTCACCCCATCCCACTTTCTAGCTGTGAAACAAGGCTAGTTAGAGAAGAAGATATTCGTAGTTTGCTTGTTTTCAATCTTAGGTATCTCCGAAGCATTGCTCGCGTATCATGGGACAACCAAGTTAGCAGTGCTGTTGTTAGGAAATGGGTGCTGTGTCAGGATGGCTGATCAGCAGATGAAAAATTGATGCTTCATCAGTTGAGGTGGTTGAGACATGTGTTACGTATGCCTAACCACCGACTGCCTCGTCGCGCTATGTTTTGAGATGTAGGAATAGGTTGGAAGAAAGTTAAGGGCAGTCAGACCAAAACATGGCTCAACTCCATTAAGTCATTGACAAGTGGACTGAGTCATTTCGGTAGGTGTCGACTACTTGGTTGTGGTCTGCGAGATGATAGTAATCGATGGTTAGAGACTTTGAATGACATGGCTCAAATTCGTTTACAATGTTGCAGGTGCATTTACTCTGTGTTCGCTCAAATCCTAAACTTCTGAAATAATCATCACTTCTATCTTTTTCTTTATAAACTTACCTCACTGAATTATACTTCTTGAATAACATCTTCGAACCCTAATCTCTCCGATTACTTCTAATACTTTTACTACCTCTACTACTATGGGATTTGAATTGACAATTTTGTTTCCGTGTTAATGTGGTATTTCAACGTGAACTGATTTAAGTCCGTACGTGTGAAGTTGTACGTTGTTGATGATGATGATGCTCTGGTCACTTTCCTGTTCTCTCGAATCGTACTCACATTCAATGCACCTAAATTAACGGTTGCTCTGGTTGTCAGAGGAGGCATCGTCGTCGTGACTCCTGTAGGAACTTGACTTTCATCATGAGACGTTATAATTCTTCTAAATGAAGACACTTCAGCTGTCATAGCACAGTTTAAATGGTCTAAATTATTTGTTTTGGTTCTAGATTTTTAGGCAGTTGATTTCCTTTAGGATGGGTTCGCTAGCCCCATTCTAATTTATCTTGGCTTGCGATCAGCAATAGCCTCAAATAGGTGAAGGGCGGAGTTGAATGTGTTTCAAGTGCTAAATATTAAACATCCGCCTGAGCGACCCATATCGTTTGGTTTATTAGATACGAATATCTAAATATAATCTTGAACAAATGAGTTTGACATGTGTGTCAATCTATTCACCGAATAGAACTATCTCATCGGCATATTCAAGGTCGATAAGCGAGCATCCTGGTAAAAGATCTACTCCTGGAAATTAAGACGAAGATAATGTTATATCTAGCAACATGTCTATGACAAAATTAAACAAGAATGGGGAAAGTGGACATCCCTGACGGACACCACTTGAAGTAGAGAATTCCGAGGACAGTTCGCCATAAGCTCTCACTCGAAATGTAGTGTTCGAGTAGACAGCTTTCATAAGGTGGATGTACTACTTTGGTACACATTTCCATGACAGACAACGTCACAGAACCTCACGATCCACCGAGCCAAATGCCGCCTTAAGGTCCAGGAAGATAACTATTGTCGGACGCCTAAGTGTGTGTCTGTGTTCCAAGACCTGTCGTAGTGTGAAGATGTGGTCTATACCGCCACGTCCGGGTCTGAAACCCTAACAATTTAGAAACTATATTAGTTAGACTTATTCCCCTGTGATTGCGCAAGAACACTTTTGTCCTTTCTTATACATTGGGACAATCAGGGATTGAAACCAGTCAGATGGGATTACGTACAGTTCCCAGATTCTACCTAACATCTCAGTCAATGTAGCTGCTAAAACTGGACCACCATCCTTAAAAATCTCAGGGGTCAATCTATCAGGACCCGCTGCTCTCCCTCGCTTCAGATTTCCTAACGCTTTCTCAACTTGATAGAGAGTCGGTGGACTTACGTCGATTTGTCATTCAGGATGACTGGAGGTCGTGGGCAACCGAAGTGTGGCTGAAGGCCAACTGAACTGGTCCCTAAAGTGTTCTGCCCATCGGTCTAGTCTCCTAGATTGAGAATGAACGATATACCCATCTTTTCCCGAGATAGTTTCCCTCACATTTTGATTCCTAATACGATTTTCCCTAATAAGTCTGAATAGTTACCTACTGCTGCCTATCGCCGTTGCGTTTTCCATCTCCCTTGTTTTAGCTACCGACTACTGTTCTCGACCATTGCGAAGGCTTTGTATCAACCTGCGCCTGAGCTGACTCCGCTCGTCATCGTACTCAGAGCCAGGAGGGATGAGCTTTCGATCATCCATCAGTTCGGTAGAGGCTACTGAAATCCACGGTTGCTCCCTAACCTTATGGTTTACTTTACTAGAAGATGTCACTGCTGTTTCCACAGCCTTTTTGATATCATCCCAAGCTGCCTCAGGGTGGGCTTAACTTACTAAGTGGCTTCCTAACTGTTTTTCTAGTTGTTCCTGAAATTTATTATTCGCTTTATTATCATTAAGTGGAGCCCTAACAGGTTTACCTGCGATATTTTTCTTGCGTCCAGTAAGGCGCAAACTAATACTCGCCCGTTCTAGGGCATGGTCCAAACAAGTGCTCCATAATGAGAGGCAGTCTTCAACAAAGCCTCTTCACCGATGGCTGATAGCGATGGGATCTAGTTGGATCCAGCTTCGGGTCGGCTTTGGGGGTCGCAGGGTCAAAAGGTGTTTTACCTTATGCAGACGGTCACCATTATCTGTTCTGTTGGCCGCTACACTAAAAGATCCACCCAGGTGTCTTTCCTTTTCTCTAAGTCTACCTACTTGAGCGTTAAAGTCACCAGCCATTATTACTATATCAGAGAGGTTTCTAAAACACTTATCTTTCATGTCGTCTGAACTGCAGTCAGTGGGGGCATAGGCAGACACGACGAAGAGGCAATGGCGAGTGACCCTATCCTTCCGAGTCCGTACCGTCCTGTTTAGTGGGCAGCGCATGAGCGACTGTCTATCGGGATCCAGTCTAAGGGAGCTAGTTCTGCCCTAGGACTGAATACTATACCTACGCCGGCGAGGCCACGAGAAGCGGCATCGGGGCTTGCAGAAACAAGAAGCGTAAACCTTGGTTTGTCTCTATCTGCACCAGGTGAGATTAGATTGATGATTTTACTCTGGTCTTGTAAGCGCGTTTCGGAGACGCAACATACATCTGTAGTGAAACGCTTCTACAAAAAAAATACGATTTGTAAAAAATAAACATTATTGTACTCCTTTTGTTTAACTGTACCGAAAACACTTCTTCCACTTCTTGCGCGCAACGTTCTCTTGGCGTTGCTGCCATTTTTCTCTATTTGCTGTTCTCAATGTAATGCCTACTGTCTGCTTTGATAAAACCTTGGATCATGGATTTATTTTGATTTTAAATGACGGGGGATATTATGGAACATTTAGTAGTGAGCATATTCAATCTGGTATCTTGACTCGCTCACTACACATCAGTCACCCGTGATCCCAGAGTTCTAGCTAATGAAGCCTGTTGCCCTATTCGGCATAGGGTCCGAACATTAAAAGCTGCTATATGTAACTTAGTACGGGCTTTCAAGCGACCAGGAATAATGTTTCGTGAGCTCATACAGTTTGCTTCAGTGGCGTGAGATGATAAACGATCGAAAGAAGAGTTGGTAGAGGAGATAAGAGAGTTATTAAGAGGTGTATAAAGGATTTGATTGCGACCATCTTTATCTCGTGTGTTTTCATGAGTATGAGGGCGGATGTTACTTCCCGGCTGCCCACACCGTGGAAGAAGAGTCACAAGAGTTGCTGCAGAAATGAAAATATACGTGGTGGTTCTTGGAATCAGCAAGATATACTGGACGCAAGTTAGACAACAAGAACTAGTTTCAAGATTATGCTATGCTACAGCCGTGAAGTAGAAAATGCCTCACACACACAAGAAGTTGCAGTGACACTGTCCAAACAAACCCAAAATGCAGTGATGGTATGGATCCAGTATCATCAAAGCACCCTACAAAACAAAGAAATAGTGGATTGCAGTGACTACCCCTCAGTGCTATGCGCCCATCAAAGATAACAATGAAAACGACAGACAAGTCAAACAAATCAAGAGCGACAAAGAAACGGGACCAGACAACATTCCAGCAGAGACAATGAAAAAAGACATGGTAGCAACTGTGAAAATACTTCGAATCCTCTTCAACAGAATTTTGGATAAAGAACAAGTACCAACAGACTGGAGAGAAAGATACCTTATCAAACTATCAAATAGAGCCGATCTCAGAAAGTGAGAACTACAGAGGAATCACTCTTCTTTCAGTTCCAGGCAAAGGTTTCAACAGGGTATTGTTAAACAAAATGAAGGACTTCGTAGATGAGCGACTTTGAGATCAACAGGCTGGATTTCGTAAGGATCGACTGAGTACCAACCAAATCACAACATTATGGACCACAGTGGAACAATCAGTTGAATGCATTTCGCCACTCTACATCATATTCGTTGACTACGGGAAAGCATTCAATAGTGTGGACAGGAAAACACTATGGAGGGTTTTTCGACACTACGGCGTGCCTGAGAAGATAGTCGACATCATAAGGGATTTCCTATGACGGACTAAACGGCAAAATCGTACATGGAGGACAGTTCGCACACCCGTTCGAAGTAAAGACCTGCGCTGTGCTAAACTTTCCACTCCCTCTCTTTTTCTTTTTCTTGGTGATTGACCGGACTATGAAGACGTTTACATCTGGGGAGAAGTACGGGACACAGCTGACAGCTCAGATGAAGTTGGACAATCTGAAGTTCGCAGATGATTTAGCCCTTCTATCATACTCACATCAACCAGTGCACGAGAAGATGACCAGTGTATCAGCAGTCTCAGCAGCAGTAGGTCTCAACATATACAGGGGAAAAAGCAAGATCCTTCGATAAGACATAATATGCACCACCTAAATCATAACTGATCGAAAAGCTTTGGGGAATGTAAAAACCTTTACATATTTAAGTAGCCTTATTGACATGCAAGGTGAATCTAATGTAGATGTGAAGGCGCAGATCGGCAAAGCAAACGTATCATTTGCACAACTGAAGGACATATGGGACTCAAAATAACTATCGACCAACACCAAAGCCAGAATTTCTGATACGAATGCCAAGACAGTTCTACTGTATGGGCAGGAAAGTTCGAGAACGGCGAAAGCCATCATCCGGAAGCATGTGTTTATTATTTGTCTACTTAAAATACTTTGGATCCCTTGGCAAAACAACATCAGCAACAATCTACTGCGGGAAAGAACGAACCACATCTCAGAAGAGGAAGAAATAAGAAAGAAGCATTGGAAATTGATAGGACATACATTGAGGAAAGTACCCAACTGAGTCACAAAGCAAGCCCTTACTTGGAACCCTCAAATTCAAAGGAAAATAGGAAGCCAAGAAATACATTACCTCCAGAAATGGAAACAGAAACGAGAAGAATGAAGAGCATTTGAACAGAACTAGAAAAAAAGCACAGGACAGAATAGATTGAATAATGCTGGTCAACAGCCTATGTTTCATTGGGGATAACAGGCGCAATGAAAAATAAGTAAGTTATCTCTAAGCAAGGGAAAACTAACTCACCTATCGATATCTTTCTTTTTGGTCAATATCTGTGATTCTAAGTACTTTTGCTGTAATTTTCTTTGTTTCTCCATAGATATAAGCAGGTTTCTTGAACCGATTGCCTGAATAAATATGTTCTTGCTCTTTATTAAAACAAACTTTTAATTTTTGCGATTCAACTTTTTCGGATATATAACTGATTAGGTTGAGAAGTTCCCCAATAATCACCTTAAAGTCAGTCATTTCTAAGGAAGGAATAAGCACAACACAAAATAAAACTTTAACACTGAATGCAATTAAGTAATTTTATTTCTGCATTGTATAAGATTGAAAGAAAAGCAATTGAAAACATAAAAAGCACTTCGTAATTAGTTTTTAACCTTGACAAATATCAGCTCAAAAAATGTTGAAAACTAGAAAAAACCGGGTTGTAATTTTCATTTTATGATTTACTAGCGTCACACATAAACCACACAAGGGGATTTACCAAGAGTATATGTTTTGTGACTAATATTACACATTTAGACTAATGAGTAAGAACTGAATGGCGCACCTCTTCATTCCTATTAGTATGCAACTTAGATGCATTGATACCGATGATACTGATCTCACTATTGATATTTTAGTCCTGATTTCCTGCCAGAAATTCGAAAGTCCATCTAACAGCTTACTTTTAGTGGCCATATAAAAGATAATTTATTGAGAATTTGTGAATTTCATCGTTAACACAGAAAATGATTAGTATCAAGGAATTTTAAACAAAGTAATAGGCTTTAACAACAGTCAAGTTTCAAAACGTACTTTGCTAATGTCAGTCTGGGATAATTATCATGGCAAAACAAACATTTTGATATCAAAGTCTAGTATTTTCCAACCTCGAGTTATCATAAGGTATACAAACAACAAATAATCAGCGTATATTTTGACTTACTTTTTAACTACTGCAACATTAGGTTATTTCAAAAAATATTGTGATGTCATCTTTAGAATGAAATTTCCATGTTAAATCAGTCTTTACTTTGGCAAGGAATTGTATGAATTGAGCACTGAGTGACTAAATGTTTCTGAGATCCTCATAAGGTCAATCGCACTCCCAGAAAACTGCCGTCAAGTGTAACTTTTAGACTGCAACTTGTTTTGGCTTCGACATTCGATGTCAGTACCAAGTTGTACATATATGCTTAAAAGCATAGTACCGATTAGCAAAAAATCATCGACTAAACAGCATCTTTAGTGGTAACGATAACGAAAAACTTGACAAGATCAAATGCAATACAATTAAGGTACTAATCAAATACATCAATTTTCTATATCGATGGTTCATCACACTTGTGGGCAGAACTGTTTATTTTGTTCGACTAAGTACGTGAAGGTTAGAAGTCTATTATAAACACTACTTAGTACGCCATAACGCATTGAAATCGCTGTATAGATGAGGCCATATCTTTATAAAACCAGCGCTTTCGATCTGGCTATTATATTGATAGATAAAATTTTAAAAAACGGGTCCCAACTTTCGGGTGAAGCTGACGGATGAAAGCTCTTAAGTAAACCTAGAAACCCTCGTCTCTAACGCAACAATTAAACCAGATCATAGCTCTTCAAACTGATTTCCTCTGAAGTTGCATTTGTTACATAGCTAAGTAGCCACATGAGGGTGGGAATAAGAGCGTTTGCTACCACCTGGATATATACAATGAGTGGGCAAGGTTTCCTCAAGATAAATTTCAATGATAAGGTTTCATACTAATCGATAAATAAAGTTAAATCATAAAAATTAGAGCCTGACGTCTTGAGAAAATTTCACACCTGAAATGTATTTTTCACATTCTTCTCTGAGTTCGTTTGTTTCTTGTGAAACTGTTGGCTCAACTATTCGCAGTTTGTAAAAATCATCAATATATAACCCAGCTTGAGCTAACGATTCCACCATTGTGCGTTACCCAGTCCAAATGTATCACAATGATCACCTAGGAAACGAGTCTTCTATGAAATGCGAATATTTGGAGGCTTCTGCACAATCAGAAGGTAAATAGTATGATGGGAGAGAGTGTAAAATTATATGTCCGTGAATCTGAAAAACAGCATAAGTAAAATGACGAGAGGCCGTAAAGAACAAGCAATGTCACTGAGGTGAGAATGATAAAATATGATGAAGGAAGTAAACAATTTCGAATGACTGACCAAAAATTACTCTTCGTAACTATGACAACCGAGGTCAATATCCAATATCTTTTTCACGAGCCAGTGTAAACCAATTTGATTTCTTTGCACTCGATTCTTGTTCTTTCAGTTTGGTTCCAGGTGTTTGGTAATGTTCAATGAATGGGGATTTAGCCACTTGACTGTCCAATTCTAGTCAGTAGGTAGTTGTTTGTGAGTTTGTATGTCTCGTGATTGGAATGATTACGTGTGTTTCAGGGCAGTAGGTTTTCGGGATACCAGCAACTATCACATCATCATGCTGAAGATCAGTTAGTTGCAATGTGGAGAATAATAAGGAGAAAATTCTAATGCTAATAAGAAGATTTCAGGACTAAGTAAATAATGGAAAATTTAGTTTTTCAATTGGTAATGAATATTGTAACTCCGCCAGTAGAACCTTAGGGGCTACTGCCAGTCCCAAGCCCGGATAAAGGAGAAGGGTTGAACATGGGGTTGGCGACCCCATTCCGTTGAAATCTCACTTGCCAAAAAAACGCTAACCAGAAAAAATAATTCAAACCATCTTAACTCTGCCCTGGGAGTTGGAAGAAGAATTATGACGTCTCGTGATGAAAGCTGAGTTCCCTCGGAAGTCACGGGGCCGATGCCTCTTCTGACAACCAGAGCAACCATTTTTTTAGGTACATGGAACGTTCGTACATTGTGGGAGACTGGAAGACTATTTCAAGTTGCGGCAGAAATGAAACGATGCAACCTCGAGGTGCTTGGAATCAGTGAAACGCATTGGACACAGGTAGGACAACTGAGACTAGGTTCAGGGAAACTGCTGTTATACCCTGGTCATGAAGAGGAAAACGCTTCACATACACAAGGAGTTGCACTGATGCTGTCCAAACAAGCACAAAAGGCACTGATAGGATGGGAATCTCATGGACCTAGGATCATCAAAGCATCCTTCAAAACAAAGAAACAGGACATTACAATGAACGTCATCCAATGTTATGCACCTACCAAATGACTACAATGACGACGTTAAAGATCTATTCTACGAAAGGCTGCAGTCAATCGTCGAGAAATGTTCACCAAAGGATTTGACGATTCTTATGGGAGATCTGAAAGCCAAGGTTGGCATGGACAACACTGCATATGAAGACATCATGGGACGACATGGACTGGGAGAAACGAACGAAAATGGTGAGAGATTTGCAAACCTATGTGTATTCAACAAACTGGTCATCTGCGGTACAATATTCTCTCACAAATGCATGCACAAAGCCGCATGGATTTCACTGGACCACACTACTCAGAACCAAATCGACCATATCTGTATCAACAAAAAGTTCAGAAGGACCATGGAGGATGTGAGAACCAAGAGAGGAGCAGATATATCTTCAGACCACCACTTGCTGAACGCCAAAATGAAACTGAAACTAAAGAAGCACTGGACAACGGGACAGACAACATCACAGAAGTTTAATAGAGCCTTTCTTCGGGATACCGTAAAACTCAACGAATTCAAGATAGCCCTCACCAATAGGTTCCAGGCCTTTCAGGATCTACACAATGGAGAGGAAGCAACATTGGAGAACAATTGGAAAGGGATTAAGGAGGCAATCACTTCAACATGTCAGGAGGTCCTTGGTCGCAAGAAGCACCATCACAAGGAATGGATCTCTGTTGGTACTCTTGAAAAAATCGAAGAAACGAGGAACAAGAAGGCAGCAATCAATGTCAGCCGAACAAGAGCGGAGAAAGTTAAGGCACAAGCTGCATACACAGAAGCAAACAGGGAAGTGAAGAAGATCATCAGAGCGGACAAACGAAAATATGTGGAAGATCTAGCAATGACGGCGGAAAAGGCTGCAAGAGAAGGAAACATGAGACAATTGTACGAAACAACGAAGAAGCTCGCCGGAAACTATCGTAAACCAGAACGACCAGTGAAAAGTAAGGAAGGGAAAATAATCAGCAACACTGACGAACAGCGAAATAGGTGGGTAGAGCACTTTAAGGAACTATTGAATCGACCAGCTCCTCTGAACCCACCCAACATCGAAGCAGCATCCAAGGACCTCCCAATTAATATTGGCGCACCTACGATTGAGGAGATCAGTATGGCCATCAGACAAATCAAGAGCGGCAAAGCAGCAGGACCAGACAACATTCCATCAGAGGCAATGAAAGCAGATGTAGAAGCAACTGCGAAACTATTTCACATTCTCTTCAAGAAGATTTGGGATGAGGAACAAGTACCATCAGATTGGAAAGAAGGATACCTCATCAAAATACCAAAGAAAGGCGATCTCAGCAAGTGTGAGAACTACAGAGGCATCACTCTTCTTTCAATACCAGGCAAAGTCTTCAACAGAGTATTGTTAAACACAATGAAGGACTTCGTAGACGCCCAACTTCGAGATCAACAGGCCGGATTTCATAAGTATCGATCGTGTACTGACCAAATTGCTACATTACGGATCATTGTGGAACAATCAATTGAATGGAACTCACCAGTCTACATCAACTTCATCGACTACGAGAAAGCATTCGATAGCATGGATAGGAAAACACTGTGGAGGCTTCTTCGACACTACGGTGTGCCTGAGAAAATAGTCAACATCATACGGAACTCTTATGATGGATTCAACTGCAAAATCGTGCACGGAGGTCAGCTGACAAACTCGTGTGAGGTGAAGACCGGTGTCAGGCAAGGTTGCTTACTCTCACCCTTTCTCTTTCTCCTGGTCATCGACTGGATTATGAAAACGTCAACATCTGGAGGAAGCACGGTATCAACTGGACAGTTAGGACGCAGCTGGACGATCTGGATTTCGCAGATGACCTGGCTCTTCTATCGCACACTCAACAACAAATGCAAGAGAAGACGACCAGTGTAGCAGCAGCCTCTGCAGCAGTAGGTCTCAACATACATAAAGGAAAGAGCAAAATTCTCCGATGCAACACAACATGCACCAACCAAATCACTCTTGATGGAGATGCCTTGGAGGACGTTAACAACTTTACATATCTGGACAGCATCATCGACTAGAAAGGTGGATCGGATGCAGATGTGAGGGCACGGATTGGCAAAGCAAGGGCTGCATTTCTACAGTTGAAAAATATCTGGAACTCCAAACAACTTTCAACCAAAACCAAAATAAGGATTTACAATACAAATGTCAAGACAGTTCTACTGTATGGAGCGGAAACTTGGCGAACTACGAAAGCCATCATCCAAAAGATACAAGTGTTTATTAACAGCTGTCTACGCAAAATACTTCGTATTCGTTGGCCAGACACGATCAGCAACAACGAACTGTGGGAGAGAACAAACCAGATTCCAGTGGAGGATTAAATCAGGAAGATGCGGTGGAAGTGGATAGGACACACATTGCGGAAAGCACCTAACTGCGTCACGAGACAAGCCCTCACATGGAACCCTCAAGGCAAAAGGAGAAGAGGAAGGTCAAGGAATACATTACGCCGAGAAATGGAGAAAGATATGAGAGGAATGAACAAACGTTGGAAAGAACTGGAGAGGGAAGCCCAGGACAGAGTTGGTTGGAGAATACTGGTGAGCGGCCTATGCTCCATTGGGGGTAACAGGCTTAAGTAAGTAAGTAAGTAATGAATATTGTGCGAGATGACGGAAGTGTAAGCAAGGTAGAGGAAACAGAGATAACAGGCGAGATAGATTAATTAAGTGATCTGAGCAGATGGCAGTACTAAGGACTAGCAAGTTTCAAGACATGCATCAGGAACAGTTTATCCACGAGGGAGATGATAATCCGTATGTGAGTGCAGGTTTACCAAGTCTATTCTTAAAGCTGTCCACTGAGGGGGGCTGTGGTCACCTCGGTCGGGAGAGCATTACAAGTTGCAACGACTATCAATGATATAAAGTGGGCACGAACCTGAGTGTTCGCTCTTTCACGCACAATTTTTTGAGGATTACCTCAAGGGGTGTGATGGCGGTGCATCGGTAAGGTGTTCGTATTGGGATGGTTTGGCGTGCCTAATATGTTGCACGCCATAACTAGGTCACCCCTGATTCTCCAGTAACTTGGGTAGAATAATCCCAAATGCTGAAGTCTATCCTCGTGAGTTTTGTCTTTCAAACCTATCACCCATTTCGTTGCTCGTCTCTGCACTCGACCCGTGAGATTTATATCTCTGTTAAAGAGGGGGGTTGCGATGACGTTGTGAACTCAAGGTGTGGGTGCGCGTGTGTCTTAAACAGCGTCAAGAGTAATTCAGAATTGATAGCATCAAGTTGTCTTCGCATAAATTTCACAGCTGCATTAAACTTGGCGGCCTCCCCTCTAAAGTTCGAGCTGGTGTGGAGGCTTACAGTGGTTATCAAACCGAGATCGCACTTTGAGGAGACATTAAGGAGCAGACGTCCATTGAAAGTGTGAATCATTTGCGTCATGTGGGGCAGAATATACATAACGTGACATTTTGGCTGGTTTAGTAAAACCGTTTATCACTGCTCATTCCTCGATGGATGTAAGGTCCTTTTGAGGCTCAGTCAAATCCTCTTCTCTTCCAACAAACCTCCAAATCTTTGCATCGTCTGCGTAGATCAATGCCGGCGAACTAAATGTGTCCAACAGGTAGTTAAGGACTATCAGGAAGAGAAGTAGAACTATGATGGTCCGCTGTGAAACTCCGGATGTTGAGACTCGCTAACTCACGTACACTCTAATAACCTTGGTAAGGAACTTCCTATTCTCAGGATAGTTGTTTCTCAGGCAAGATACGAGTGGGTCAGTGAAGCCTGTTTTTGCAGCCTTTGCGATTAGGCGTGCGTGTGGTACTGTGTCAAAGGCTTTTGCGAAGTCAAGCAATCTTATGTGCACCAGTGATTTTCGATCCGAGCAGGATATCTAACAGTCCCATGCTATGAGAAGATTATATGTGCACGATCTGCCTTTCTGAAACCTGTGTTCAGCTTCATGGAGTATTTTGTTTTTATCCACGTACTCGCTCATTTGTCCGTTCACCAGCCGTTCCATTAACTTTGATAGTTTTGGTAGTAATGAGGGTGGTCTGTAAAAGGCTGAACATTTCCTGTCTCGTCCATTGAATATTTTAGAGAGAATAGCTTGTTTCCATCAATTTTGGATTTGATGTGATTCCAGTGAATGCCTGAACAGGTCATATATCGGTGAATAAAGCCTCCCATTACATCAAACTTCGGCATTTCATCTGTTTCTCAATGTCAAGTAAGAACTACGGTCGGAATCTTTCAGACAGACCTTCCACTTGTGCCAGGCACTCCTCTTCGCATGTAGCATGCCTTGTGATATCCTGGCTGCCGATCGTATTGACCGCGGTTTATTGTGCCTAATTCGGATCGCGGGGTACAATTTAACCGATGGTCTCTAAGATGCGAGGAGGATATCTCTAGCAAGTTGTGCCGAGTCTAGTGTTACCCTCATTCGAGGGGGTCTCTTTTTCGTGATATTATGGCCTTTGAAAAGGTGGAATATTTTGGCAGCGGTGTTGCACCTTCCGAGGATCGCACAGTACTTGTTCCATAGTTCTTTATCAAAGGCAACTTTGCCCTGTAGCATACTATCCTCCAACACTGGAACGTTAAATAAAATTAGTGAATTTGTTGTAACGTCCCTGTCACTGATTGGAAGCATTTTGCCAGTAGTGATGTTGTTATTCCCATTTCCCACATTCACCTACTGTTACGTATTGGTAATAGGTACTGGGGGTTTGGCAACAACCGGCAGTTTGTTGGTGTTTTGTTTTGGGTTTTGGTTGTTTTGGTGGGGCCTTTGGCTTAGCCAACTGGTAATAAGCCGAAAAATCGGAGGGATTTAACTCAACAACGTCTGTATACATTGAAGAGGTTAGGAGGTTTCCCTCAGAGACTTACTATTCTCTAATAGTATAAAAAGGCCAGAAGCTAAAAGGAACGTAACTGAGTAGCTAAAGAAAGAGAAAACATGACAGTAGTGATTCTTCACTTTAAATGCGATAGCCAGAAACTGAAGTGATTTTTGGATCTGTTATACGAATGCCTGAAAATTACGCGGTAAGCATCTGAAGCTAGACATACAGATAAACTCAAACAGATTGGATGAGACTAATGTGACAGTAATTCGACGAACTGCATTCAAACATGACATTGAGCTCGATTTAAAAAAACCTCACAATATTTCGATCTGAAACAACCTATAATCGTGTGACAGAAGCAGCAGTATTCACGTAAAGCATCATTCATTTTACTACTACCATTAGTATGTATATGGATGTGAGATAGATGAAATAGCTAGTTGCCGCTTGATATGTATATGTCAAAAACTACTGATTGGTCTTTATTGAGATCGGTGGGGAAAATGAAGTCTTATTAGATAACCAGAACCTCTGTGCTATTATTGTTAAATGTTTGATCTCGGTAGACTTCGATGTATCGATTGAAGACTAGAAATTTAAGGACACAATTGAGATGAAGCACATTCAGATGAAATCTAGTTCATGCAGTTTTATAATCTGTTTTGGTAAGACATGCGAAAAGAACTATGTAGTATTCAGATATCGGATCATGATTGTTGGATTCTATATAATCAGTTATGAGGAAGACACCCCGAACTTTGACAATATATGAAGCTTAAGTGATAGTAACCATGTAGTCCTAAATCCTGAACTTCCCAATTGTTAACAATGGACAATATCACATGATTCAATAAACTATTCTCCATGATTCAACAAATCTGTTCGTATTCACCTACACTAAAAGAAGAGAATGTGTGGCAGACTTAAGTTACTAAGCACCAATAGAAGATCAAAATGTTGTATTTCTTATTCTTTTGGAGTCCTTAAGTATATACGAACGGAAAGTTGTTAATATACTGAATGAAACTTAACACATGTCTCGACCACCTCAAGTGATGAACTTTCATTACTTCATCTATTGATTTGCCAAACCTACCTGGATCTCGTTTCCTGACGACAGCATTGCTTATACGGATGTCCCAGGATACGCTAGCAAAGTTTCGGAGAAACGGACGATTAAAAATAAGTAACCGACGGAAGTCCTCAACTCCGAACGGAGATGTTTCGCATCCGTATAGTAGGACGGAGCGAATTACTGAACAGTAAACTCGTCATTTGGTCAGCCAACAGATATCTCTCCAACGCCATAAAAGACGCAATTTGGCATGTTTTGGTCTGACTGCCCTTAACTTTCTTCCAACCTATTCCTACATCTCAAAACATAGCGCGACGAGGCAGTCGGTGGTTAGGCATACGTAACACATGTCTCAACCACCTCAACTGATGAAGCAGCAATTCTTCGTCTATTGACCTGACACCCTTACCTAGCACCTGTTTCACAGCCATAAAGTAGGATGGAGTGAACTAATGCGCAGTACACTCGTCCTTTGGTTAGCGAACGGATATGGTGCCACCATATTTTACTGTTGGCTGTAGATAACTACCTCACCATCGATAATTCTAGACTTACTGACCGTGACTTCTCACTAGAAATCCACGAATTTCCTTTTGAAATTAGGTACTGTTAACCACGTGTTTATTTTTAGAGAATGATATTTATGGAAATTTATGGAATTCATGCTCTACACCACGATCTGATCTTATTTCGGCAACCACCAAGACAGACTTTTTTATTTCTAGTATGGAAATCCTGACTTAATTCAACCTATGCTGTAGACTAAAAAATTCAGAAATCTTAACAAACCTTTCATAATCTAGTGAAAAAAACTTAAATAGGAAAAGATAAAGTGATGAGAAATTAAAAAGTTTAGGATTTGAGAGAACTTAAAGAATGAATGCCCCTGCAACATTGTAAACGAATTTGAGCCATGTCATTCAAAGTCTCTAACCATCGATTACTATCATCTCGCAAACCACAACCAAGTAGTCGACACCTACCGTCCACTCTCTCCACTCCTATTTAGTTTTGTCATTGACGTGCTCTTAGAGCCAACGCTTTCATCGTCTGACTTTTCAGGAGTTCGTCGTATACCGGGAGATTCACCTACCGTTTCAGAAGATGCCGATGACATAGTTCTATCTGGTGAAGACGCTGATAAAATTCAAAGTCTTCTAACCACTTTGAGCAACAATGCAGTTATGTTTGGGTTGCGATTCTTCCTCGTGAAATGCGAAATGTCGCTTCAGGATTGACTTGCGTCAGCACCAGAAATACAGATAGGGAGTAAAGTAGTTGAGAGTGTTGACCGCTTCATTTATAATGCTAGTCTTACTGGCTTTTGACAACTCGTGCAGTTTACTGAGTTTGTGAGGTATCTGTTTGCCGACCAATGGACGAGTTTACTTCGCAGAAGGTCGCACCCTCCTACTTAACCTTATGAAGCATGGCCACTAAGAATAGAGGATAACCGAAGATACTAGTATTCGATAATAGATGTCTTAGAAGCATTGCTTATTTATCATGACTCCATCAAGTATGTAATGCTGTTGTTAGGAAAAGAGCACCACTTAAGAATGGAAAATCAACCTAGCCACCAATTTCCTGTTTGTCAAAAACCTGTTTCCTTTTGATAAGAGACTAGTTTTCGTTATTTAATTTGTTTAACTTAGGTAATATACATTTGGTTGTATGAACTTATGCAAATTACTAGCGTAGAATTTGAAGCGTCTGGGTATTGTTTTTATTTTTCATTTATGTTTATGTGATACCGTAACTATCGCTCAGCCATTTTGTTTTGGTGTCCAAGCAATTTTGTAGAAAACCACTAAAAACACTTAGAACTCTGGATGTGACGACCTTTGGTATCGCTTCATATTCTATTCGCACGAACCCAAGCTCAACAGAACAGCCAGAATCTATTTCAGATTCTTCCACTACCTTCATAACCAGCAAATCATACTGTGGTAAACTACCGAGCGAGTATGACAAGCTCAAGTGAGTGATATTACGTATGTAGCAATAAGTAACTCCACGAAACAAGTAATTAATTCGGCACTCGACATGAGGCCTTTTGTTTCTTTGATAAAAAAATAACCAAGCATGCTCATGCTCTGACCATTTAGTATCAGTTCAGTTTTGCGTTGTTAAGCGATTTAAGCTTGAGAAATCAGTTGGTCGATTCAAAGTCAAAACAAGAACTTCTCAAAATATAGATAGCATTAACAACACAGTTTACACTCTTTGTAATTTGATGCAATTCACCCCTTACCTAAAGTCAGATTTGTTAACGTTGGATGATCACTTAAAAACAAGTGGTTACAAGTGATCTTACTAGGCGTGGCTGAATCTGTTCGTGACATTTTCAGCAGTTAGTTAGTTTGTTGTTGTTGCCATTCATTTTGGAGATACATGACGTTTATCCTTTTGATTAATTCAAAACATGACTTTGCGAAAAGCTACACAATCTAATTGATTTTCCCATGAAAAGTATATAAATTTCGTTCAAAAACTGATTTTTCAACTAAATCAGGTCAAGAATAACAACACTAAAATGGATACGTTAAAACTGATATACTTGTAGCTACTTAGTGAATACATCATCTATAAATTACCAGAGCAGGTGTACGAAAATTGTTGTTATAATGAAATGTCTCGTATTTTGAATACATTCTAGATTTCATTCATTTATCATTTGTTAAAGGTATAGGTTTTATTATTCGACCGGCAAACAAACTGGTTTTCAGTACTTTGTCGTAAATATAACAAATAAATGACTCATTAACATCAAATCGAATGCTGGGAGGAGGTCTAGCGCTTCTTAAACCAATACCCATTGCTGTTGCAGCTGCCGCCTCCACACCCTCCTCATTGACTTTCATAGCAATACTTTGTTGAAGAACTTGGACATATATTTTAGCATCCGTAATTCCTACAAGTTAACAATGATAAAAAAAGATTTCAGCAAGTAATTACAAAAGTGAAGACATTATGAAGCTTGTGATTACAAAAAAATTTTTCTGAAAAATTTAGTTGAAATATCGCTTACTAATAATTATAGTATATAAACAACAACAAATAGACATCAAAAGTTAATAAACCCCTCACCTTCAAGATTTGCTTCGACTGGATCAAATAGATCAGTGATATACATCTTTTTTAGTGTTTCAATAAGATCGAGTGAAAAATTCAACCGGAATCTCGGTAACGATAAAGCGACTTGTTCACTTCGAAGTTTACTCACCAAATGAGGCAGTTTTATTTTACCTCGCAATACTTTATCTGCATATTCAATTTTTCCTGATTCCGTTGGTAATATTACTATAAAAGTAAATCGTGGATTCTAAAATTGTAAGCGAATAATGATAAAAATCATTTAATTGCAATGTTGGGAATTACACGTTAAAAAATAAGGTAAACAGAATGAAGGAATTTCTTTTAAAAACAATAATTAACTCAATAATTTTCACCATTACAGCCAATTATCTGAGTGTGTGGTGATTTTCGTCATAAACTACAACAGATTTGTCTTTTGATACTTTGTGTGTATAGAAAAAATAACAAATATTTTAGTTGGACGGAAGCCATTGTAAACAGCCTATAAAGACTATATGCACGACTGTTAGTAAAATTAAACTAAATTAAGTAAAGGATCAATAATGACGCTGACACGGCCTCATGTAAATGAGTCTCTGTCGAATACTTTGATTGGAAAAAGGCAGAACAGTTTGTAGACATTGAACCGTTCATAAATCACGAAAAGACAAAGTACATACATTCTCCAACATGGATCCTCAGTTTAACCTGCCCATGTACTGACAGATCATTGAGTAGTTTAAAGCATATAGCGAGCTTGGAACATTGGTAAAGTTCAACATAACAATGTACTTGTCGTCAGAATCTTATTTAATTATAATTCGGTTTAAACATATATTACAAATGAGTCTACATTGAATGAACTCCTTGGTAGACATAACGATAATTTGATAGAGTACTTACCAAGTGTCAAGCTCTTATTCAATAAACATAGAACGCTAATAGCAAATCATCTTGGACCTCTATTTTAAATTCAAATACAACGAAGTTACTGCTACATAATACATCGGAATACAAAATCGGTACTAAGTCAACTTTCGAATGAGGTTTCACAATTTTTCAAACCTATTCGGTCATCACGTTTTTACAGGTTCAACATTTACTGTCTGTAAATTATTCTGTCATATCATACGCAAAACGATAGAAAGTGATTTCATTATTCTTACCATGAATGATTTACTAATCATATGAATTCGAAATCGTGGAAATGTACCGTAATCAATTCTTTCGGTTATGTGCATCATTGATATTTTCATTATGGGTTGATTGCTAGGCTTAAAGTCACCCTCTGTGGTCGAATGGTTGGCAAATGGCTTGTTCCATTTTTCTACAATGCATAAATTACAGAATCGAGTAACATATATATTATTCACCTGTGAAATTTACATAGCCTGTTTGTGAAATGGAAATCACTCCCCGTGAAATTTATATTCAAAATTAAACATCGATAAGTATTCGAAGATATAAGATTCATAGAACCTGTAGAAACTGTTTGACCCACAGTTATATATCTGTATATTAGCGTTCAAGTAAGACAACTATTAACGCAAATGTTGATGGAACTGAGAGTGACCGTGAGGATTTGTCTGTTTCAGATTGTCAATTTCCTCACTAAGACTGGAAATTGAGATTTATTGTCTGAAATAATGTGCAGCACTACACAGATCTGACGATATACTTTAAAAACAATCTGTGTAAATACTATTCTTCATCTACTGAAGTTTTCACCTGATCACTGTGTTACCTAAGAGAATGAACATTTAATCAAGTTAAGTAATCTTATTTTGCTAAATAATTAAATATCAACACAATATTATTATTAACTGGGATCAGTTTGTTTTTACTGTAGAAATACGTATAGTCTCTGAAATAAGTTTCAAAACTAAACAGGTAAATCAGCTATTGATTTAAAACAGTTGTTGTCCCTCGTTTATCACGTTTGTTGCTAATATCGAAGTGTAGTACGCACTATAGTTCAATTATCTATCCATAAAATATACACACTTCTTTTTTATCCTAGATAGTCTACATAAAAGTCATGTTAATAATATAAATAGGTAGTTTTTGTGAACAATTATCTACGTATTTAAGCTCGTTTGATTGTGACTAAAAACTGCTAGTTGGTATCCTGTATTCACCTTAAGATGTAACTGTCAAATAATAAATCATAATGCATATTAATTTTTATTCCTGATATCCAACAACACGAGTCATTTTAGTGTATTCTTGATCAGTAGTAACCAAAATAATTTGTTTAAACATGTATTCGTTAAATTCAAACAATTTACTAACGATTTGATATGTCAGTTAAATTCCCTTAGTGGGTGAATGTCACTTCAAATATAAAGAGAGAACACGGTAAGCAGAATGGCTTGTGTCAGGCATGATGTTAAAATATTGATATTTTAAATCGGTTAAGCAAAGTATTCAAATTTATTATAGTAATCAAGTATTTCTCGGTAAGTAATCTACTTTCCTTTTACGAGGCACTTTTGGTCCTTACAAATGTACTCTAACTCGTTCTCGTGATGAATGTAGAGCATACTGATCGATGATTAGTATAACGGTTACGTTCACTATCAATATCAGGAATATTGTTCTTTCTATTCGTTAATGGTATTCACTATTGGTTGACTGAATCTATTCCCATATCGTGTTTTTTATTAGTAAATTGTCTTTAACTGAGGGAAGTTAACTTTTGTGTGATCTGGAGCTTCGTTAGTACAAAAATTGATAATTATTTAAACAAAATATGTCTTATGTCTTCATTGATATCACTAAACCCTAAATCATCAATATTTTTAATCCAAATTTAAGTCGTATGTGTGCTGAAGTAGTTAGTTAGATTCTGAAAAATTCACAAATCTGTGTTGAAAAATCCTTGATATTTTGTCTAGCAGCATGTAAGATTTTGACTACTTGCACAATTTTGATTTTATTGAAGTGATTTAGTGTAATCAATTGCACAACTGACCCGAAAATATTTAGTGAATGGTCATTGTTCATCGTAAGATTAACGAATTCCGCTCTAATTACCAATCATTGCGCTTGTTATTCAATAAATATTAAGCATAAAAAGGTTTTGGTAAGTAAGAAGTTACCATTTATTAGTCAGTAATTAATTCACACTTTCTGACCAGTTCATGAGACATAAATCTCGAAGTGTTTAAATATAATCTTATTGAAAGTAACATTTATAAATCATCTAGATAAGTAAATTTTACGTTTACAACCCGAAACATAATATAGTGCAAAATTAATTAATGGATTTACTGAACGGTTCACGGTGTGCCGACAACCATTATTTTTTTGATATTCAATATTTAGTACATTCGAGTACTTACATGTTCATTTAGTGTGTCATTGCTGAATATAAGAGTTTAATTTTTGCTGGGGTCCTAATTTCGACCATATGAAGCTATATATATATGTCTTCTCGGAATATGGTTCTGTAGCCCATCCCGTGTCGAATGAAGACAGTAAATAGCGTGAAAGAGCTTGAAATGAAACCCACAATGAAAGTTGTACATTTGTATACCATGTCAACCCACTGAATTAATGGAAAAGTGCAGATGAGCTCCAAGTTTGAGGAAATGTATCCCATAACCATTTTGACACAAAATGAACTTAGAAATATTACAGATATATGTTAAAAGTTAACTAAAAGCACAAAACTATATTGAGAAACAAACATTGTACATTAAAACGAAATCGACTTCATCTTCGTAAAGCCATATCTAGGATTCATGAACTGATTAGTAGTCCTTCGAAATCGAACGAAATATAATGTATATTCATAACAGTTATTAACTTACCTTTAAAGTAAAGAGTATTGATTAATGCAAGAACAGTCGTCTGTGGTAGTGGTTCCTCCAAGATTGTAGGAATCATTTTATTTGTTTTGTTACTGACCCATTCATTAATATTTTTTGTAGCATCGTCGGTTTTTGTGAAGTCTACCTGGATTTACATTCAAAGTGTTCAATATCGATACAATAGGTTCATTAAATATCAGTTATTCATTACATTGAGTCAACTTAAGAACTGGTTCAGTTTAAATAAGTAAGTATATACCCTAGTGTATATGTAAAGAATACCACTTTCATAAGGGTTGGAGTATGCGTGCAATTATATATTTAGGAGACATACCAGATGACAATCATAGAATGACTAAGTAATATCCACATTTTTTCGAGCAGAACTATTTACCTGAACGATTTTTTCTCTATTGTTTGATAAGGTATATATTGTATAAAATCTTTGAAATATCTATCATTCACAGTTAAACAAATTAAAACAATAAACTAGGTGATTTTCAATCAGTAAATTCACAAATACCTACATTTTAGTATAAAACTTATCATTTAACAGAACCTAACTAGTATACTCTGTTTCACATTTTCGTTTCGCAATTCATAGTGATAATTAGTTTTTGATGGTTGATAGCTTCTGTAATCATTATGAGTAAAAAGAGATTCCCATAATACTAGTTATATGAAACAACACTGTTGATCTAAAAGTTTACTTGGGTTTGCCATTATGAAAACTGTAATTCCAATGGTTAAAAATAAAATTTTTGCTGTAAATGTTACGTTTTACAATCACAATTAGCCATGAAGTTATTTTTAAAATTACCGTGTGTTATTGTGAAGTTGACTGATTACGTGAAAAAAAAATACATTTCGCAGAAAATTATATGGTGTTATTCTTATTTTCACCCAGTTTAGTGAAGTATTTTTCAGAATATAAATATTTTGAAAAAGTTATAATTTACTTACGTTAAAAACGTCATTGTAAAATATATTTTTCATCCTGGTCAAAAATTTCAGTTTTATATTAACTTCATTTTTCAGAAACATTCCATTTCCTAGGGAAACAATTTGGTTTCCGTTTCTCTTTTCATCTGTCAAATTATGATACAGTAGGGCAAACATCCGTGAAACGAATTTATCATGTTCTTTGAAATCGTCAAGTTCCAAGGCTTCAGCAATCTGTACTTTTGTATTACCCCTGGGTCCTCCTGAGCCGAGAAGTGTTGCGAGAAGTAGGAATACACTTATCGGAGACGACAAATAGTCATTTGTTCCTGAAATAGTGAAGAATCGATATTGGTAATAAAACATAAAAAAAATATAAAAAAATACTCCTCTTCAAAATAAATATTCATCAACTTTTACAATTATTCACTCACGTTAAATTTCAGATAAATGGTTTACGAATAAAAGGTAAATTGAAATTCAAGACAAATAAAATATATACTAATCTATTGTGAGGGAAATAGTTTTGAAAGATTTTCAGTTTCATGGTTATTTTCAGTTGCAGTAGCTTTCAGTGAGTTTCAGTGAGTATGGATCAAAGAAAATTTTATGTAAACTTAGATGTTAATCAACTATACTGATTTACGCATAACACATAACGTTTAATAAAATCTTCAATCAACAATCTTAATCAGTAGTTATTCATCCAGTGACACTACTTTTGCTAGAATGAATAGGTCAATGACTATACTTAATTAGGAGATAATGTTTACAGACGTGAAGAGTGTCACCGACTCCATAAACAAAACAAATTTGAGTATATTGAATACCAATCACGGGATAAGAGAAGAATTACATCATTTATTGTCAGTGACAGAGGAAGACCTGAATTATTATTCAGTTGGTAGCTGTAATTAACGTTAGTTTTTCAAACTACTAATATCTTTAATTTCATAATAAAGGGATAATGTCATTGGAAAAAGATATTCGATTCAGCTGATCATCGGAATAACATAAATAGATCAATAGGTTTTCCTGTCACTCGTTTAACTTATAGTTTCAAGATGAAGATGATTACACAGTGACCTTCTTTAAGTAATATGAGTCATTGTAACTAACTATTAGAACTAACCAGTTGCTGATATTTCTAGTAGATCACGAGCGAAAACATTATATCTTGGTTCATTGGTTGTGAAACCCATTTCTACAGCAGAAATGTTAATGGATCCCTACATTTATATAAAATATCTTTTGTGGTTTAAATCGATACTTGACAGTTACTAAAATATCGCTCAATTTTTAATACACTCAATAAAAATGATTAGCCGATGACAAGTGATTATTGATAATGATGACAGGTGGTTATTGATAATATAAAATTGCACATTCTTGAGAACTTCGCCTTTTTGGAAATAATTAGTGTAATATATTATTTTATCAATAAGACAGCAATTTCTTATTAATAGATAAACTGAGTAAACTACATTCAAAATTTATCATAGTCTACTCGAACATAAACAGATATCCTCCACAGTAATCATGAGTATTTCGAAAACGAATATAAAAAGAACTTTAAAATAGAATTAGTTTATTTCAAGTATCGATAATGATAAGAAACTTTAGTTTTCAAAATATAAGTGTAATTCTTTTACTGAGCATATGAAAATAACTATTAACTAATCAAAGCACTAATACATATCACTAAAGATTGACCGCAATTATACATATACTAATCATCGATCAGTATGCTCTACATTCATCACGAGAACGAGTTAGAGTACATTTGTAAGGACCAAAAGTGCCTCGTAAAAGGAAAGTAGATTACTTACCGAGAAATACTTGATTACTATAATAAATTTGAATACTTTGCTTAACCGATTTAAAATATCAATATTTTAACATCATGCCTGACACAAGCCATTCTGCTTACCGTGTTCTCTCTTTATATTTGAAGTGACATTCACCCACTAAGGGAATTTAACTGACATATCAAATCGTTAGTAAATTGTTTGAATTTAACGAATACATGTTTAAACAAATTATTTTGGTTACTACTGATCAAGAATACACTAAAATGACTCGTGTTGTTGGATATCAGGAATAAAAATTAATATGCATTATGATTTATTATTTGACAGTTACATCTTAAGGTGAATACAGGATACCAACTAGCAGTTTTTAGTCACAATCAAACGAGCTTAAATACGTAGATAATTGTTCACAAAAACTACCTATTTATATTATTAACATGACTTTTATGTAGACTATCTAGGATAAAAAAGAAGTGTGTATATTTTATGGATAGATAATTGAACTATAGTGCGTACTACACTTCGATATTAGCAACAAACGTGATAAACGAGGGACAACAACTGTTTTAAATCAATAGCTAATTTACCTGTTTAGTTTTGAAACTTATTTCAGAGACTATACGTATTTCTACAGTAAAAACAAACTGATCCCAGTTAATAATAATATTGTGTTGATATTTAATTATTTAGCAAAATAAGATTACTTAACTTGATTAAATGTTCATTCTCTTAGGTAACACAGTGATCAGGTGAAAACTTCAGTAGATGAAGAATAGTATTTACACAGATTGTTTTTAAAGTATATCGTCAGATCTGTGTAGTGCTGCACATTATTTCAGACAATAAATCTCAATTTCCAGTCTTAGTGAGGAAATTGACAATCTGAAACAGACAAATTCTCACGGTCACTCTCAGTTCCATCAACATTTGCGTTAATATCATTAGACATTTTGCTGATGATGTTGTTCGGAAATACAATCAAATTTTCACAACCAAATCTTCCAGCTCAGAACGAAACAATTCCACAATCATCCACCGGAGCTATAAATTTTCTACATCATCTGAATATTCATTTTTGTACAGTTTACCTTAAGGATATATTTATATAAATGTATTCTTAAAGCTGTAAATGTTTAAAGGGTGAAGGACACCTTCAGGAATTCACAGGAACTAAGTTAGCTGTCACTTCATCAGTAAAGCATTTCTTATTTGCAAACAATATCTATATATTTTACGGACACATGAATGAATAAGTCAAAAATTTATTCCCTCAGTGTTCACTTAAATGAGGAAATTGATATTCTTATTCAACCTTTGTAGTATTTACTTTCAAATCCATTTACGCTGATAAACTACTGAAAACGTAACTTTCTTCATATTCGATCTGTGTTATTTACGAAACGAACACTTGCTGCCTTAATGCTTATATGATTTCAATTAAATGATTACGTTGCGATAAACTGTTGTTGATTCTCGGTTAATAGCTTGTATGGAGAACGTATTATGCATTGTGTACGCCAATTTATCAGTTACATATTTTGAAATAAGTGACAGCTTTAGTTAGATGGAAAAATTGGCAGAGTTTACCACAGATATCATTTTTATATTTGTATATAACAACGATCCATTGAAGACATATAGGTAACAACAACACATATAAGCGAACAATATTGTTTTCGATTGGATCGTCATCAGGCTTTACTCCAATATACATGAATATTTATAAAAAAATGTTAAACCAATCAAGGCAATTTGAGTGATTAATCACAATGAAATGAAAAATATGATAACTAAAGTTTTATCAATAGTACGTCAAACGTGGATGAAGAGACTTCAAATAATCCATTAAAACATCAAAACCATTACGTAATAAGCAAATGTGTAAAAATAAAATAAAAAAATATAACAATAATAATAATTTATTCCCAAATAACAAACATGTTACAAGGGACAAGCCAATTTACAGGCATGATCAAAAGCTTAAGATTAGCAACATATTTCTTTTAAAACGGTATACATTTACTGAAACATTTCACGAGATTAATTGGATTCCTAGAGATGGAGTGTACAATGCGAATAATTGGCGCGAGTTACGAGGGTTGCGTTACGACTATCACCTTATGGACTGCGAAACAATTCATGGTAGAGACAGGTTTGCATATAACAAGAATTGATGCGGTAAATGTACGCAGGTTTGGTTTATATTCATCAGCTAATTATTTCACATGTTCCTGTGTAGGGTAACAAAGTCTACGGCAAATATCCAGACTAATATATGAGGATTGGAATAAGGTGCTGAAAAAAGAGGAATAAAGAAAATGGGACGAGGAGCAGAACAGAAAGTATTCTTGTTTAAAGCCGAACAACGGCTTCGCACATACACTTATGGATAAAACAAAGGTATGTTTACTCAGACTTATTTTTAGTATCAGAACACTAACTGTACACCTGCACTTATGTAGGTTAATAAAGGCAACTCAGTAGTGAGATAACTAATGGGAAGTTAGTCATATGAATAGAGGAAATTCAGAAGAACCAAGTTGTTGGCAATAATGTTTATTTGCAAAATATAATAATGAGGCACAGTAATGAAAAGCTTTTGTGGTATTTTAGTTATTCTGTTTCTTTTTATCTCTGTGGCTCAAGAAGTCATAAGTGAGCTCTTTTTTCAGTATAGTTGTCCAGACCAGCTTGTAATAGGATTTCTCGGTAGGAAGTAAAAACCAGTGCAAGGTTACAGACATGAGTCGTAGACGAGGTTAACAAGGAAAAGTAACATCAATATCACTGATTTGTTACATACTGTTATATATCGTAAGGAGCCGTAAGCAAACAAAATGCTCTGTCTCACAAACTCCAGTGCATCGAGGTTATCGCACAACAATCATGATTGCAGGTCAGACACACCACGCCTCATCCTTTTGTGATGTCAGGCTCTCTTATGCTTAGTGTTAGATTTTTTGTTTCAGTCTAAGCTCTATTTTGCACACCTTTTCGGAATACACTGTCTCTACCAGTTCCATTTTACAAGCAAACCAGACAACTGTGGCTTCTGTATGTTGAAATAAATATCCATGTAGCTCATCACATTGCTATTAAGTTAACTAATGGTATAAGTTATAAGATGTTGGTCAGTTAATAGGTAGTTTGGAGAAAGGAAGGATAGGTAGCTGACGAAAGAAGAGGAGGAAAAGTAGTGTTGAAAATTCATCAGTAATATGGTAAATAATTAGGAAAGCAAGGTGTTTGGATGTTGATGAATTGTTTGCTTACTTGCTTACACCTGTTACCCTCAATGGAGCATAGGCTGTCGACCAACATCGTCCTACCTACTCCGTTCTGGGCCTCGCTGGCCAGTTCTGTCCACTTTTGTTGATCCTTCTCATGTCTGTCTTTCTCTATTTCTCGGCGTAATGTGTTCCTTGGGCTTCCATCAAGCTAATAGCCAGATGATTTTGCTGGCCTAGTATGAACAGAGGCAAAGGGACTGCGCCTGATCTGACCACCTGCAAGCTAACGGCTTTGTGTAACGATTTAGCCCGCAGCTTAAGGCCAAACTCCCAGCTAGGGACCTATCACACAGGAGTTCGTTCCTCTACCGGTGTAACTCGGAAATCACAACGGAATGAGAGCCGATGCACAAAGCGCTGCAACCGTCTACAATATAACACTTCGACCTCCACAGGAATTCGTGAACTCTACATTTACAACAGATCTGAACTCGTCCATGAGCAGGTCTACAAACTTATTGCCTGCAGCTAAATGTATTTCTACTTGACCTCAAACAACATGTTACAAGTGGTATGCCAATTTAAAGCGTCTTTCAGTCGGTGAAATATTTCACAAGATACATCGGTTTCATATAGATGGCTAAAATTTTTCACATAAAATTATAGATAACTGTCCGGACTCTGTAATGGACAATGTGTATAATACGCGCGAGTTACAACAGTCGGGTTACGACGAACGGAAGAGGTAAGTGTGCTAAGATCTGCCTAGTATTCTCCATAAAGTAAAGTTACAGGCTCCTGAGTAAATTAACCACGTCTTCTGCAAATGTTCATACAAATATTAAAGGATTGGAATAAGGTGCTGAAAAAGAGCAATAAAGAGAACGGGGCAAGGAGCAGAACAGAAAATATTACTGTTTGAAGCCGAACAATGACTCAGCAGATACTTTTTTTGATTAGAACACTAACTGCGAACCTGCACTTATGTATTTTAATGAAGACAAGTCACTAGTAAGATAACGAATGGGCTATTGATCATATGAATAAAGAAAATTCAGAAGAACCAAGTTGTTAGTAATAATGTTGATTTACAAAATATAATAATGAGGCACAGTAATGAAAAGCTTTTGTGGTTTTTATTTATCCTTTTTCCTTTAAGCGCTGTAGCTCAAGAAGTCTTAAGTGAGCTCTTGTTCAGTATCATCGTCCAGATCTGCTTGTAATAGGATTTCTTGGGTAGTAAGATAAAACCAGTACAAGGTTACGAACATGAGTCGCGGACGAGGTTAATGAGTAAAAGTAGCATCAATATCATTGATTTGTTACGCCTTGATGTATCTTAAGGAGCCGGAAGCAAACAAAATGTCCTGCCACACAGACATGGGTAGATTGAGGTTATCGCCCCACCGTCATGAATCTTGGTCAGGTACACCACTCTCCCTCCTTTTCTCATGTTAGGCCTTTTTACGTCTGATGGTTGATATTAAACCATGTTTCCTAGTCTGCGCTTTATTTTTTGTACATCTTACAGGAGTACATTTTCTCTACCAGCTCCACGTTACAAACATCCAGAAAACTTTGGCTTCTTTGTCCATGTAGCATATCACACTGCTTTTAAGTAAACTCATGGTATAAATCGCAAGATATGTGTCAGTTAATAGGTAGTTTGAAAAATAGGAAGGCTAGGTAGCTGCAGAAAAAATGAGTTGAAATAGTGTTAAAAAATTAATCAGTGAAGTGGTGAGTTGGTAAGCAGGCAAGGTGTTTGGATGTAAATGAATTGGCGAAATAAAATTTTATCGAACTATTAATACTTAAACAAGAAGGAACTCACAATAAAACAGGGAGTTTGAATTCCTTGTAATTGTCAGTAGTTGATTAGCATATACAGGATTTTCAATTTGTCTGTCTACTAGAAATAAAAACTAAAACTGTTTTGAAGATGTGAAAATATTGATTGGAATTTAAATTTAGAGAAA